CTTACGGGGATTCCTTATGGACTATTGGTATGGAAAGTTCCATAGAAGAAGTGCTGGCTTCGGCTAAAACCTTGTCGGGTTGTCGGTTGTTCCAGGTACTTAAAATACATCTTAGTGGCGACATCAAGGGGCAGAGATGGGTATCCTGTCCAAAACAGTACTAATGCTTGCAATATTTCATTTCCATTAGCATCTCCTGTTGTATTAATAAACATGAAAATTTTTGTTTAACAAGAGTTGCAGTAATAGTTTTGTGACTAACGAACCTGTGGTTTTTGGGTCCAGATCAAATTGTAATTAAGAAATTTTGGGTTTTGATGAGAGGGAAAACTGGAGAACTTGGGAGGAAAAACCCCTTAGACAACCCACATGTTCCATGCAGAAGGAATGTTTATTGATATTTGCTTGAAGGTAATTTGAAGCATACAAAGTAAATCTGAAACCTATTTTGACATAATGTACAGCTGTAACCAACCTTGCTGTACCAACATGGCATTTCAGTAGTGCTCCAGTTGAAGCAACATAATAAAGCAATAATGAGCTATACTCACCTTTCTGGTTCACTTCATCTATGTACTGACAGAGAAATTGTCGGCCCCTTTGGCACACGGCATCAAGGCAGTCTTCCCACTGTATGTGTAATTTCAGTAAATTTGCCTGCACTGTACCAGTGTTTGGTGGAAACACACGTAGCTGAAGTTTGCGAAATCTGTTAAGTAAGTCGAGAAGAGTCGTCCCGGACACTTTCACTGCAGCAAATCCCTTTCTCAAATCATCCATGGCAGGAACTCGTTTTGTCACTACCTCATACAACAGAATACACTCGTAAGCCAGATGCTGTCTCCCCTCTGTTATGTTTAAGTGAGGGTATCCAGCAGATCCCAAGAGCTCAGAGATATTCATAGGATTCACTCCTCCTTGCAGCAAAGAAGCTGATTAAAAAAAGGAAATAAACAACGCTAAATTATGAGTACTGTATTTTTAAAATCATCAAAATACTGTAATTATTCACATAAAATAAAGAATTGTTATCAGCAGCATAAAAACTTTCAATACAATTTTTCCTCAGACATAAAGAAAAACCCAAAAAAATCCCTGATAAAATCAAATTACCCAAAAAATACTAGCCAAAATTTTCTCCATAAAAAAATCCCTAAATTATCATCTCAATTTACAATCTCAAAGCCCCAAAAACTCTTCACACTGCAGTACCTCCCCCTTATTTTCCAATTGCCTTGTCAACTGGCCAGACCACACCAACAACACCAGCAACTCTTTTCTGAGTCCTTAATGTCGCCTACAGGTTTTGCATGAGGATTTCCAGGAAGATGGCGTGACGAATAGCAGGCACAAAATATTATGAAGGACAAATACCATATATAGCAATTTCTTGTAATCAACAACAATATCCTTCTTCATAAAAATTTAAAGAACCTAATTAAGAACCTATTTAGCTTAAACTTCCAATAAGTACTCCAAACTATAAGAATCTATTTTGCCAAATTTCAAAAAATGTAGCTTCTTATTTGCAGCATTTTACTGTATGTATGTATGTATATGTAAAATACACTCACCTCTGTCTGATGTCCTGGACTATTCAAACTTTTACAACTCAGTTCATGATTGAAAGGACTAAAAGAATGGCACATGCAGGAAGCGATCTCAGGCTGTTTAGTCCAAGTTGACTTTCAATTGTTCTCAGGGCATTTTTCATTTGTCAGATCTGGCCGGATGGACCATTGCCGCACCAGTCAGTAGAAAATTAAAATGAAATACGCTTTGTTCAGGAGTTTTGATGTTGTTGTTGTTGTTGTTGTTTTTTGGAAAACTATTTTCTTTCATGCACACTAGTTGGGATTTGCGGATCTGGTTGGATAGTTTGGATTAAAAGTAAAATTCTCATTATTAATGTCGGGAATCATCTGGATGGTCAGTTGTGAAAATTGTAAAGTGCCCTAAGTCAGGTGTGAAAAAAGATTCAAATATTCCATCCCTGGATCACCACAAGGCAAACAATATCATTTTTTTGAATCCCCACCGTATGTCCTGTTTTATGAAAACATATGATTATAAAAGCAGGTCAGAGAGAAAATATCGCACATTATCTCTGTGAAAGTCGCCTGGACTTTTTTCAAGACACCTAATACAATATGCATTTGTTGTTTATGTCATCCGGGATTACACTATAAGTGGTATTAAGTTATAGGTGTGGCTACGTAGGACTAAACAGCTGAGTACAATTCAGTGAGTATATATAAATATCATGTGAGTGAGTTAAGACTACTGATTGGAGATTATGAGCCTGATTACCCCTAGTGAATTGTGCTCTACCAATTTTAAGCTAGCAAGGCAACTGGGAGCTGGTTATGTAGTTAATTATCAATTATTGAATGAGGCTGAGTATCATCACCCTCCTCGACCTCCGTAATTCATCAGATAATAATAGAAAGCTGAATTCAATAGTTATTTTTATTATTATTCATTCAATTTAATTCCTAGTTTAAAAACAAGCTAAAACATGCTTACCTCCCAGTGATGTTAAGTTCATTTTTGATATTGCACGTGAATTGGCAAGTTTAGGAGATAAAGGATTGTTCAGCTACGCAAATATTCTGCAAATAGCAGATGTAGTCCTTCAAGTTGTCTTCTTGCTGTTCTTGCTATGTTTTTAGCCAATAGTTCGTCTATTTCTTGCTGGTGAAACGATGTTCCTCCTTTTTTGTTCTCACTACCAAGTTTACTCAACCTCATCCCCAGGTCTTCTCGGTCAACGGCTCAATAATTTGCAACTTTCCTGCACTCTTGATGTCATCAGTTCAATAATGGTAAAATTCTTCCAAATTGGTCGAACAGTAGCTTGTTAATGATGAATTATACCTGTGATTTTAGCCAATCAGAAACAGAGAAATATTTTGAATGAATGTAATAATAAATATTTATGTTATAACTCATTCAAGGATGAAGATGAAACCATGAAAAATGAAACTCAGCAATTTGTACTGCAGGATATAAAGAATTGCATGGAAACTGATGTTTGTGCTTTCTATTGATCAGAGTGCTATGAAATACATATTAAAGACTTTATGTATTTCATAGCACTGTGATCAATAGAAAGCACAAACATTTAATTAGTGTAAAACCCTTCCCTGCTTGCTGGGGGGGGGGGGGGGGGCCAAGAAAGTGTTTTTTATAAAAGGGTGTTTTTTTTTGGGGGGGAGAAAGAGAAAGTTGAGGGGGAAGCATTTTTTTTCCCCGGGTACAAAAAAACACGTCTGTTTTAAGTTGTTGTCTTTATTTAGTTGGAACAAAAAAGTGGGGTTTGGCTTGTTTGTAAGTGTTAGCGGTGTGATGTAAAAGAACACACTATTGGATGTTATGATGTGCCCCCCTCGGGGGTGGGGGGGGGGGGGGGGGGGGCACAGAAAGTGTATTTATTAACAAGGTGTTCATTTTATGTAGGTTGAAAGAGATAATGTAAGGGTAAGCACTTTCTTTCCCCAGGTTCAAAGCAAACTGTCTGTTTTAATGAGCTGTCTTTATTAAGTAGGTGTACAAAAACGGGGTTTGACTGCATGTATATAAGGGAATTGCTCTTGGGCCGAAAGTTTGTCTTCATACAAATTTCACTGTTGCACTATATAATTACTTAGATAGCTTAATATAACAAACAAACAACAATCCAAAAATGTGCATGCGGCGAAATGCGTGTGCGCAATTTACGTCTGTGTCTGAGTGTACATGCATCCCCGACTTGTCTAATTAGTATGTATGAGGTCGCTTATTGTATACTTATTGTTCTTATTTTGTTGTTAGTTTTAGCAGACTTTAATTGTAAGTAAGTAGATCTTAATCAATGAATTGAAGAAGAAGTTCTCATTGGGAAGGGAAGTGCTGCCGTTAGTTGCGAAGCGAATAGGACAAAGACAGTTTGTAGAACAGTTGAACATATTAATTCTTTTTTATTAAAGTCAATAACTTAGACTTGTTGGCATTCTGAAACACTCGGAGCGTAATATAAAAAAATGAACCGATCACGATGACAAATATTTTACCTGCCAACCTTTTTACATTTATAGGCGTGACATTTTTTTATCTTCAGAGTGCCAAGATAATATCCGAAGATGTCCGGGGACGTTGCGAAGACTTCCGAAGATGTTACGAAGAGTTCCGTCTAACACGAACACAGGAACACAAAGGAACATTGACTTCCCTACTAAAAAAAGAGAATTCGGAGAAAGTCGATCATGCACATAGACTTTTCTTTGCTCTCTTTGGTTCTGGTTTGTTTAAATAATTAATATATGTTAAAAAATGTCAGTTAATGCTGTAATTGCTGAAACTGTTCTACCAAGCGGGACAAATCGGAACACAGGCGTGAGTAGGCGTGAGATCCAAGTTTTTGATCCGCAGGCGTGACAATCACGCTTTTGGCGTGACACTTGGCAGGTAAAAAATATGCTTACATTCATATAACTCGCTAAGGTTTCAATACAATTTTGTAATTCATTATAATAATTCACGAAATTCTAAAACAACAGCAGTGTTGATAGGCTGTTTCTTCATCGAACAATCATCATACACAGGATCGATGAGATGAGTTGCGAACAAATGACGTAAAGGCAAAAACTTGTTTATTCACAGGTCAGGTAGATGTACAGCACATGCCGTTCACTTATGTAACTTACAATCCTGATTACCGAGATAACTATCTGTGTGACAAAAGAATACTTGCTATAACTAATCTTGAAACCTGAATAAAAAAAAAATAAACCGAAAAAATGTTCCGTACAATACGTCTTGAACTGCTCTTACCGTTTAGGCCGTTTAAAAATACAGCAAGCATCCGATAAACTACGATTTCTGCACAGATCTTACATGAGAGCAAAACAAAATGGCGGGTTGCTCCTAAGAAAAAAACAGGCGCGGCAGCTAAGCAAACCGCTGACTGCACAGCGCTGCAGTCACGGATGACCATCGAACCATGGAACCATCGAACCATCGAACCTAATGGTGAGAGCTGTGAGTTTCGCCTCCCTGTCCAGTAGCTTAATCAGATAATATAAAGGCAGGTTGCATTGCCCAACAGCTCTGCGATTTAGGGCGTTATGCCAACCTTCTATGTCGTTGTTGGTACGAATTGGTTGTTTGTAGACGCTCCAGTCCTTTGGTGTAAAGACGGGGTTCTCGATCCACTGGCGTTTCATGTAGTCGACGAGATCCAGAAGGGGCTGTGCTTGGGTCTGTACACTCAGTCGAACGAACATCGGTGCGATCTCGTGAAATGGCAAGAAGGGAAGGGCCATCAGCTTCTTGATGTATCTGAATACACTGTCGTCTCTGGAGTAAGCTGATTGAAGTCCTAGCTCTTGTACCTTTGAAAAAGAAAAAAATTAACATCGCTCATTAATTAATTTAGGCATAGTCACAAGCGAGTAGATTCATCTACTAATACGCGTCAGTTTGGTGAGTCATTTTAAATTGTGTAATCTTTTTTTATTTGTTACTCGGACAGCCCACACGTAACAAGCGAGTAGATTCATGTAATAATACGCGTCAGTTTTGGTGAGTCATTTTAAATTGTTACTCGGACAGCCCACACGTAACAAGCGAGTAGATTCATGTAATAATACGCGTCAGTTTTGGTGAGTCATTTTAAATTGTTACTCGGACAGCCCACACGTAACAAGCGAGTAGATTCATGTAATAATACGCGTCAGTTTGGTAAGTCATTTTAAATTGTGTAATAAGCCTACTTGTTTGTTAGTCCCCTTGCATTTGTAATCTATTCCATTTGTTTTCTTCTACTAACCTTTCTCCACACTGCACAACGTAGAGATGCGTATACGTGAGACGTGACATCGAGATTGCCTCAGTGAGAATTAAACATTTATGTGTGATTTAAAAGGAACTGCTCTACCTTTATTAGATAAGCATACGTTCACTTCACGTTATTAGATACTAAAATTTCTAATACCTTCTTATAGTCTTTTCCTTTCTTGTTTGACATAAGGGCAAATGCCAGCGGCACTTGTTTCGCGCACTCGCCGGATCTAACAAAGACGTTGATGGTTACGAGCTGTTTGAAGGGATGTCGTACTAGCTTGAAGGTGCCATCGACGTACCAGGACTTTGCTATGGCCAAAGGCTGCAGCTGTTCTGGTCTGGCAAATATGAGGTGCCGTCGGTTCTTCACTATTACATCCGCCTGGTAGAATCCTTGGGAAATACATTCTTCTATCAGCTCGAAGTTCAGGTCCTTCGGGTCTTCAGGTCGTAAACTTTGGCGCAGGCGGTTGGCGGCCCTCGCTATGTACTCGGGTTTGGGAAGGGCTGGGCACGAGGCTTCTGTCAATTGATCCAACAGGACCTAAAACATAGGAACAGATTAATGGAGTTACAGTTAAACTAGGTTCTTATTTTAGGCATGGTTATTATCTAAACTGTATTCGAGAGAATTATTTTTAATTCATATAATTTACGTCATGCGGCGTACAGGGTTATATCCACAAGTTCTTTGGGTCAAAACACGTGAACGAGCGATTGAGGGCTTTTGACGCAAACAACGACTGAATAAAACCCTGTAAAAAGCGTTGTAATAACCTCATTCACTATCGCCGAAGCTGGCTTGAACTTGTTCTCCAGCGCCTTGGTTTTAACCGTAGTGACGATCTTTCTTGCGGTCGCAGCGCCAACTTCTGCCGAGTGGTTATGGGAATTCTTCCCCGCTTGGAATGTTCCGTCTCTTTCTGCTACTGAGGCCTTACAGGGGTTGCCTTTTGGACGGACCGTGCACTGCCAATAAGTAGCGTAGGATCTCTTGGCATTTATGTTATAAGTAAATCCAAGGCTATCGACTAGCATGGCTCTCCCGCGTTTGGTTCCCTCTTCCACTAGATGGTAAGTAACTGAGGCCCGGTCGTCGGCAATGACGTCGCGGCTTGGGAGTGGCTCAGCAATTGAAGACTCAGTGAGCTATCGTTATCTGTGGAATAAACGTCAAAAATCACCTTTATTTTTAAAAAATGAACCCGAAAAGAGTGATTATGATTATGGTGATTGTGATTAACTATTGCTTTCTCGTCTCAACTCAATCACTTATTTTAACAATAATGTCGCGGATTGCGACAACTAGACGGATTTTAAGAGAAAAGACACACTAACTGATTAATCATAATAGTTCATTATCGAAACACCAAATACAAGAAAAAAAAAGAAACTTACGGTTGTCCTCCAAGCTCTCTCGGCTATCGTATACCGCTGTTGATCGCTGGGACGGTGTATCAAATGACGGTGGAATGTCAAAGTCATCGAGTCTTGTACTCTCAACGATGGGTATGGAATCATCATCAGCACAGTAAATGCATGTCCAAACGATCTCCTTTCCTGATCGCTCTGCAGCCCTGTAGTCTTCCCTCGTGATGCCTGTCTGGCATCGCCGGTGTTGCCACCTGTCGCAGCCATCACATAAAAGGGCTTCCTGACGAGAAGTGGCTTCTTTAGCGCAGAACATACAATAAAAACTTTCCATAACTAGTTGTCGACTAATCGTGAAGCTAAGTTGAATGAAATGAACAGAACTCGCAGCCCTTTATATACTTTAGTGCCCAGTAGCAGCGGATCAAAATCACAGCAGTGTGATTGGTAGTCGATTAGATACGGCACCACTGATTTGTCGTTTTCCACTAAATAGGTGACAACTAACTCTAATTAAGATAACAATAGCGCACGCGTGTTTCCTATGAGGTAAGCTGTATGAAACAAAACGCGCACCGAACCAAGGACTGGGTTTAAATAAAGCAACTTCAAAATGGCGGTCTGTTTGTACCCAATCGACTTGTCTGTCCATTTGATTAAGAAATATACTTTAGCGGGAAATAAGTTGTGAGAGTTCACATCCAATAATTTACGCATACAACGAGTAAGTAATGTAGTATTCTGAATCGTATAGTTAAAGCCAGGTTGACATGTAAATGGTTGTAACGTTAAATTTCAGACCCAATAATTTAGGCATAACGACACGAACTCGAAGTTTAGAGCCGAGACAGACGACGTTCGTTCCCGATTAGCCTAAGATTTTATCAGACCATTTGCAATCGAGTCCACAATCTAGATAAATGTTCGACATAAAGAAATTATTATTAATCGATGCGCTAAACTTTGTTCCCGGAGAAGCAAGGGACCTGTTGAGAATTACACCGGGAATTGCGATGGATTTGCTCGAAGGACGACTTTATTTAGAGACTTCTTCAAAGTCAAACGTTAGACGGACCGACCATAAACTGTTTAGAATCAACCGTTAGATCGTAAGAACAATCCATTAGAGCGTTAGAACGGATGTTAGAGTGTGTGGACCTATCGTCAGAGCGGATAAGATAGCAAACTCCCAGCAAAGAAGAAGACGTTTGACACAAACATCTTGAAGTTTTTTTTGTCGAAAGGACACCTATGTCTAATTTTTATTGTGCTACAAATCAAAATAATCCACATTTACTTGAGCATGTCTCGTACGATCGATCACGTCTTTTATAACCCTGTGGAAAATTCTTTTCGTGGGCACCCCCCGTACCCCTCGGAAATTTCTACCCTTTAGCCCCCCCTCACCCCCTAGGAATTTCGATTCACCATCCGTGGGAAGGGGGGTATGGATATTTTCTGGAATCACACATTATAAAAAAAAGACACTTCAATATAAAGTTTTTGCTACAAACCAGCTGACAGTATTTTACAGAGATGTATTGAAATACTGTACTTTTAGGGTTTATTTTCGAAAAATAAAGGCAGGAACCATTGATTTTTTGTCCCTTATATTGTAAAATAATGCATTTAAAGGCTAAGATAAAATTTACCCTTTTGGTTGCTTCTAACTCAGATTTTGTCTTTGTTAATGTAATACTAAATCAACACTCTTGATATTAGCCTGTGCCACAAACAGATGAACTAAACTCTGGGTTAAGTCTGTCTGCAAAACAGCGGCAAAACCTAGTTCTGGTCCCCCCAGGATTTGAGTATATTCCAGGTTCATTTGGGTCATATTTATGCATAGCATTTTATATTTGTTCATACAGTGATTTTTTTTTCTGATTTCAATTTTTTGGGGGCAATTTCTTTTGCACAGCATGCGGACCGGAAGAGCCAGTGCAACATAGTGAAATTTTGTCAAACTTTAATTGTTTTCTCCGGACGGAAGAGTTTATCTCAAGGCTTGCAATCCCCTAGTAATATATGATGATCCTTTATCTTTAAAATTATATGGGTTTGAATTATCAACACTCTTTAGAATAATAAGAATGAGAGAACAAACTTAACCCCTTTGACGAATTTGACGAAATACACGATTTTAGGCAAATTTAGTGGATTTAATCTCAAAAGTGTCTCTCCTTTTCATGCTCTACTGTACATCATTTCAAAGTTCCATCCTTCAGCTACCGAATTATGTTAAAAGATTTGGTGGCCATCAAGTTTCCGTCACGGTTTGAGAGATGAAACTTGCCCTACTTGGTTAAATCTTCCGTATTCCCGTGAGAAACCAAAGGCAGAAATGGAATATATGCCAACTTCAAATTGTTCACTGCATAAGAATGACTTAATTGGTCTCACCTTGGCCACCTTTTCTCTCCTCTTTGTTGCCTTAAAATCGTGGCCACCTTGAATGATGGTGGTTGGAATCTTCATTCTTATGCAGTGAACAATTTGAAGTTGGCATATATTCCATTTCTGGTCATTTCCGGCTCTGGTTTCTCACAATCGCTCTCGACACTCGAGAAGTTCGGATTTAATTCTGATCCTCGGCTGCATGACCCTCTCTAACCTTCTTGTTCTTGAGCTTCTCCGTTTTTTATTATTGTGCTGCGCTTCGGGCAAAGCCCAATCAAAAAAGGGTGGCCGCCTCTTCTGTGCAGGGAAAAGACAAAATGGGAGACGGATCAGGTTTCCCTTGCCCCCTTTCCCTGCGTTGTAGCTAATCTTCTGATTTTTGATGGGAAGGGGTGGGTAATTTCAGATAAAAATCGTCGTATGGNAAAAAAAAAAGCCCCCCCCCGGGGGGGGGGGGGGGGGGGCTTAATAACTAGCCTGGCTCCAGAGGTCCGTTCTTGAAATACCCTGAATTAATTTTAAAACGTCTGCCAGAACCCAGTGAAGAATTATTGATAAGGAAAGGATAATTAAAAAAGCGATAGGAGGAGTCGGGTGGGGAGGTCGGGAGGGGCAAAATAGAACCCTCCTTGCAAGCCAATGATTGGCCTGGCGAAAGGATGGAACATTATTTAACCAAGGTATCTACCACACACGGAAGGGGTCAACAGAATAAGTTCATACTAACATCATAGATAGGTCTGGTGGAGTAATGGACAAATAATTATACCAAACATAGGTTCTTCACTGCTCTTGTGTTAGAGAAACGAGCATCACTTTATTGTCGATTCATTGCGAACATAACACTCATAAATCTAGCGTGAGTGATGTTTTGAATGGATTTCAAAACAGGATGCAAACGATTAACAACGATGTAAAAAACAGTTGCAAGTAGACGTGTTACAGCATCGGTGGACGCCATGATCGTTCTGCTACCTATATCCCATAGTTCCTAGCGAACATCTGGTATCAATAACTTCCGGTTTATATGAACATTACATCTCTTTCTCCCTAGTGGGTAACTCTCTAGAATAATATGGAAAGAAATAAAATAAACTTCAACTAATCAGTGTCCATGAAACTATGACTACTGACTGGAATCAAAGTCCAACAGAAACAAACGTTTTTTGTACAGGCGACAGCATTTTTAACTAAACAAACTATACTGTCATAGCCCAGAGTTCACGGTTCAATAAGAATCTAGGCCTACAAATCAAGAATCTGGCGGGGAACTCGTTTCCTGGAAGATCTACGCAATGGTGGTTGACCAACCGGGTGAGACGCACTAGCTTGGCTCTCTGGGATAGGGCTAAATGAACTTGTAGGATCACCTTGCACGCCAGGGGAGCTCACGGGTTTTGATGCAGACGGGTCAGAAGCATGAGCACGTGTGGGTGCACCAGGCAGCTCTTGTTGGTGTTTGATGTCAGCTGGAGAGCTGAGACCACTGTCATGGGACGGATCATCATCACGGTTGATGACTGACTGGTCCAGAGTTTTAAAGAAAGAGGAATTTCTGGTTACCGTGCGATTCTCGTTTTGAGATGTGATCATGCTGCCTTTCTTATCAACTACAGTCAAGGGGGTAAGGTCGTAAACAGTTGCACCTTTAGACGCAGTAAATGGTCTCTTCGGTAGTACGGTTTCACCGGGTGAGATAGTGCTGGGTTTCACATAAACCTTGCTGTCAGCATGAGCCTTGAACTTGGATTTCTTTGAGAAATCGCGTTCGCGGACGATCTCCCCCACAGGGTCAACGTAGTTGGTCTGTGGTAGCTTGTTACGCACAGGACGTTTCAGTAACAATACTGCTGGGGCCACACCAGTGGTTTGATGAGGAGAGGTGCGATAGTTTCTCAGAATCGCTTGCAGTTCCTTTCTCCAGTTTCTTCCTTCCACTTTAGCGGCTTTAAGACACTTCTTCAGTGTTTTCACGAATCTCTCCACCTCTAATCCATTAGAGCGTTAGAACGGATGTTAGAGTGTGTGGACCTATCGTCAGAGCGGATAAGATAGCAAACTCCCAGCAAAGAAGAAGACGTTTGACACAAACATCTTGAAGTTTTTTTTGTCGAAAGGACACCTATGTCTAATTTTTATTGTGCTACAAATCAAAATAATCCACATTTACTTGAGCATGTCTCGTACGATCGATCACGTCTTTTATAACCCTGTGGAAAATTCTTTTCGTGGGCACCCCCCGTACCCCTCGGAAATTTCTACCCTTTAGCCCCCCCTCACCCCCTAGGAATTTCGATTCACCATCCGTGGGAAGGGGGGTATGGATATTTTCTGGAATCACACATTATAAAAAAAAGACACTTCAATATAAAGTTTTTGCTACAAACCAGCTGACAGTATTTTACAGAGATGTATTGAAATACTGTACTTTTAGGGTTTATTTTCGAAAAATAAAGGCAGGAACCATTGATTTTTTGTCCCTTATATTGTAAAATAATGCATTTAAAGGCTAAGATAAAATTTACCCTTTTGGTTGCTTCTAACTCAGATTTTGTCTTTGTTAATGTAATACTAAATCAACACTCTTGATATTAGCCTGTGCCACAAACAGATGAACTAAACTCTGGGTTAAGTCTGTCTGCAAAACAGCGGCAAAACCTAGTTCTGGTCCCCCCAGGATTTGAGTATATTCCAGGTTCATTTGGGTCATATTTATGCATAGCATTTTATATTTGTTCATACAGTGATTTTTTTTTCTGATTTCAATTTTTTGGGGGCAATTTCTTTTGCACAGCATGCGGACCGGAAGAGCCAGTGCAACATAGTGAAATTTTGTCAAACTTTAATTGTTTTCTCCGGACGGAAGAGTTTATCTCAAGGCTTGCAATCCCCTAGTAATATATGATGATCCTTTATCTTTAAAATTATATGGGT